TATTTTAAATATTTTGTAAATATTTTTGTGGTCTTGGATTGCACAGATCATAAACATTTATTGTAAATGTTACAGTAAATGCTACGAAAATACTTAATGAGACATTATAATGTAAAAAATACTTATTAGAAATATTTATTTATATTTATCATAAATATTATATAAAATATTAAGTTTATATTTTAATAATATTTTGAATAAAGCTTTATATAAAATATGTATTAAATATCTAAATAACATTTCAAAAAATGAATATTAATAAATAATTATTATAAATATTCTGTGTTGTCTGGAAATTGTTTTGTTCTCAATGAAAAACAACGTTTACATTATTCATAATGTATATATAATTTAACGGTTATAATTAATACAAAAGATACAATTATAAAGCAAGTGCATTGTGAATGAAAAATCTAGAAATAATACATAAAGGCATAATTACATAAGGAATATTTATCGAAGCTCAAATAGTTATTGTACAACTTTACATAAATTTTTTTTTATTAGTTTGAAAAACGCATTTTTTTCCTTAAAAGTTTATTTAAAATCATACTCCGTTTTTGTTGGTAGTTTTTCGAAAGTTGTACATCATTAAAAATTTTTATGAATGTTAAGGACACAAAGAAATAATTTTATTTTATAGGCATTTTTTTCAAATAGGCTTTATTTTAATGAATTTCGTTGAAGAATTAATTGGAACGAAACTCTTATTTTTATTTTCTAATATTTAAAAATTTTTGTCTATGCAGAGAAACATATATCTTATTAAAAAATTATCTTTATATTTTATTTGCTCTACGTATTATCATTATTGTAATATTAAACTTCTCAAGAGTTACTCTTGTAAACATTTATGTTTATATATCAATTTTTACTTCACGTATTTTTAATGTTTGTCGATGTTTGATAAAAGTAAACAATATCTTTTCTATATGTGATTTGCCTATTTATAATTGATGTACTACTTAACATTTCTTTCATCATTTCCATTTTCCATTGTTTCACATATAGTCTCTTATTAACTAGATTTAATCTCTGATTTAACTCAAATTGGTTATTTGTTTTAATGTTGCTGCACAATTAATCGAACAAAAAGGAAATTATTTTCTCTATTACATTAATTTTAATAATTATGTTTATCTTTATTTTTAATATGCATATTATTTTACATGCTTGAGAAAACACGTCTGCCTAGCTGGCCCCCTCAAACCAAATCTTAATGAATGAATTATATAATAATGCATTATTTATGCACTCCCAAAATCTGTAAAAAAAATTTTTGCGTTTATTTCATTTAGTTAAAAAAAATTTTTTGTGAGGGGACTGAGTATGCTGTCAGTC